GCAGATGAAAGACACATGAAGTTTATTACTGAGAGACCGCCTCCTGCCAATTACCTCCCAAAGACCAATTCAATTGCACAGGCTTGGCCTTCTCCAGATTCCATCCGCCAGCCAATGCTGGCTGGTGACCCCCTGGGGGAGGGCCTTCTCTGTTGCAGCTCCGGCCCTCTGGGACGACCTCCCCATTGAGATCCGGACCCTTACTACCCTCCCGGCCTTCCGTAAAGCTACTAAGTCTTGGCTGCTCCGGCAGGCCTGGGGCTGTTGAAGTATCCAGCCCCACTTTAATTCTGTATGTTGTATTTTAAATTGTTGTTTTGTATTATTTATCCCCCTCCCCTTTTTATTGTAAGCCGCCCGGAGTCCTTCGGGAGTGGGCGGCGTACAAACCCAATAAACTAAACTAAACTAAACTTTCTTTCTTTCTTTCTCTCCTATTTCCCTCCCTCCCTTCTTTCCATTATTACTTATATTGATGATACAACCTTGTGTAAAATAGATCAGCAAGCTTTTCTGTCACCTCAGAGATCGAAAAAGGAGCTTATAGACTCAGGGATACCTGAATAGGAGAATTCACAAGTTACATCTGCAAGCTAGGAAATGTAAAACTCCTCACCCTGAGCAATTACTATCTCCCTATATGTCATATGTATGTATGTATGTATGTATGTATGTATGTATGTATGTATGTATGTATGTCTTCTCCAAATGCTTTACTGGCCACTAAATACACTAAATAACAGCACAATCCCAGGAGAATCAGTCTCGCATGCTGTTTACACCATTACTAATACATTGTTTTCTGTAAAACTGAGATACCGGTTTCAATCAGTTTGAAAGTCGCATATTACAAAGTAGAGCTTGCGGGATTCCTCCAGGCCAAATTCAGAAATCCTGGTGTTAACCTTCAGAGGGAAGTATTCATCCAACAACCATACAAAGTTGTCACTAAAAAAAAAAGAGCATCTTTTTAAAAATGCTGATTCATGAATCAAATAGAAAGGCACTGGCAAGATATTATGAATTTGTTTGATGTATAATTTTTTGTCACTTTTAATTTGTTTTTTAAATTCCCTTTTCCTTTTATATTACATTATATTTTAATGTTTGATGTTGGAATTTAATAAAGTTATTAGAAAATTAATGGAGAAAAAGAAAGTGTACTATAATCAGAAGGAGCTTCTCACAAAAATGAAACAGCCATAGGAACTTTATGTTAAATGTATAGTATTCCAGGAAAGTTGTAAAGTTGTGAGAGCCAGTTAGTGTAGTGGTGAAAGTGCTGGTATAGAAATCAGGAGACTGTGAGTTCTAATCCTGCCTTAGGCATGAAAGCTGGCTGACTTTGGGCCAACCACTCTTTTTCTCAGCCTGACCCACCACACAGGTTGTTGTTGTGAGGAAAAATAGGAGGAGGAAGGGATATCACACATATTTGCCACAATATTATTATCACAACAGAATTGTATCATAGCGGCCAGTTTCTTCACCGGATTTGGCATTGCTTACTAGTTGGGCCCCACCCAAGGGCCTAGGACGTCATAACGTATTTTCGTAATATGCATGCGGATCCAAGCAGTTCGGCTTTTTGCATTTGACTT